TTGTTAAAACCGGCGTATTTAAAAATGCGTAAGCAGAGCACGTACACAGAACTCAGTAACCTATGAATAAAAATGTTCATAAGCTTTTAGAGTGTTTACCTTGTCAAAAAAAAAATTCAGTTTATAAAAAAATTTAGTTTGTACTACGTATTCCAGGTTGCTGATGATGGATATGGAACTTGCCGACGTCAAGATTGAGCCGTCCAGTTGGGAGCCTACAGATCATGTGGATACGGACATTCAAGTAAAGTTTTCGTCAATGTTAACATCACCATATGACAAAGTTGCCCCATGATCAGTTCTTTAAATCGAGTGTGTCCCATCCAGGTTGATGAGATGGACCTGAAGCCTTTCTATGCGGATGACCTGAAAGTTGAACAGAATGAGGAAAACCAAACTGAGCAGGCTACTGCAGGGTCATCAGAGACCTCCCGTGGGACCTCGGGGTCCCTGGAGTGTCTCCCGGGAACTAGCACTGACACAAGTCGAGCTCCCGCCGAGCTCCCGCGGGAGATCTCCGATGACCCGGCAGTCGAAGAGCATGCAGCTGTGCAAGACAATGTAAGCTATCGTCGGATTTAGGACCAAATAAATTAAGCATTTACCTATACCGTCCCCCATACTCGCTACCCAGCCAGAAATTCCATCTCTAAAACATTTCTAAAGAACGTCTAAGGTCTATTTTTGGACCATTTAGACGTCTTGGTGGTCCAAAAATAGACCTTGGCCGCCGTTTAGAGGAAGTATTTCTGACTGGGTCACGGGGAGTGGGAGCTGTGTAGGTAGGTATGTGTAATGGTATTTCTGAGGTGTTACTGTAATTTTTCTCTTGATTTATTTTCATTTAGGGTAAGAAGACGAACCTGATAGCACAGTCACTTGAAGGCTTTGCAATCATTGCGAATCATTACTCTCTTTTCGAGGACTACAAAACAATGGCACGCTCAGGAAAATCTGTGTCATGTTGTCAACCAGCGGCCTGTCCGGCACTGGTAAACTGTATGGTGTGCGGAGAAGATTTCTCTGGGAACGCTGACCGTCTGTTAAAACTATGCAATCACTTTCAAACAGTGCATCCCCCCCAAGCTTTCGATCTAATTTTGGACGCCATAGACAGGTATGACAGGACAATCACAAGGATGAGAAAAGCTCTTAAGGATGATAAAATTTTTTGCGCATTAAATTACAAAGATATGTAACATGATTTTTGTCAGAACAAATGCATGACGGAAAGCATAAGTACCCTAGTTATCACTTCAGCAAAAGGGCATGGGGTATTCTGCTTCCTTTAGCTGGGGAGACAGTAACCTGGGTACCACCGCCTTGATGCGGTACTAGACAATTAAATATGTCAAGAATGTGTTACCTTTTATGTTCATTATTTCACATTGTTGATGTACATTGGCGCTGCTGGGGAAAGTTACTTGTAGTAATCATTAGGGTTGGCGAATTTATGTTTCTTCGTGCCTCACGTATTATATGTAGATTGTGTATTTAAATATTTTTGGAAGATATGCTTCTTGATCGTTTTCTGATGATTTATACGGTTCTTCGTTGAGGGGACTTATGGACTCTTTCTAGGACAATTTGTATTTCCTTATAGCTGTATGTCCCACCCATTACATAAGAAAATTGTTTCCATCCATAGTGGTACAACTATTTATGTATTTCAAACTGTTCAATTAAAAATAAGTCCATTAATTCGACGTTTTTGACTGCTTGGCCGCCCCTCTGCTTTAAACAAGGGAGAAGGAAAACACAAAATTAATTTCGTGTTGAAATAAGCCCGTGAAAACTGTCCTGTGTATGCTGCCGTATACGGCTACCAGTACACGTTCCCAATGAGGATGGCGACTGAAACTTTCGGCCGCCAGGATCGCTAGTGGCACTGGTCCCCTAGCGCGCCGCCGGCCGGGCGGAGCGTGTGTGAGCATAAACTAA